ACAAAAAAACTCCACCAGGGAACCCCATGCTCTCAACAGCACCTTCAGCAATGAGGCAGAAAAAAAGAAAAACCAAAAAAAAAAAAAAAAAAAATCAGTAGCCCTACTAGATACAGAAGATAAATGCACTGAGAAAGAAGTCACAGAAACATCACCCTTTACAACAGCAACTAACAACATAAAATATCTTGGGGTAATGCTAACCAAACAAGTTAAAGACCTATATAGCTGAGTCTTTAAAGAAAGAAATTAAAGCATATACCAGAAAATGGAAGGTTCTACCATGCTTTTGGATAGGCAGGATCAACATAGTAATAACAGCAATCTTGCCAAAAGTAATCTACAGATTCAATGCAATCCCCATCAAAATCCCAATACAATTCTTCACAGACCTTGAAAGAACAATCCTCAACTTTATATGGAGAAACAAAAGACCCAGGATAGCCAAAATAACCCTGTACAATAGAGGAACTTCTAGAGTCATCACAATCCCTGACTTCAAGCTCTATTACAGAGTTATAGTCCTGAAAACAGATTGGTATTGGCACAAAAATAGACAGGTAGACGAATGGAATTGAATTGAAAATCCTGATATTAACCCACACGCTTATGAACACCTTATTTTCGACAAAGAAACTAAAATTATACAATGGAAAAAAAGAAAGCATCTTCAACAAATGGTGCTGGCATAACTGGATGCTGGCATGCGGAAGATTGCAGATAGATCCATGTCTATCGCCATGCACAAGACCAAATGCATCAAAGACCTCAACATAAATCCAGCCACATTGAACCTCCTAGAAGAGAAAGTGGGAAGTATCCTTGAACAAATTGGTACAGGAGACTGCTTCCTGAACATAATGCCAATAGTGCAGACACTGAGATGGACAATTAATAAATGGGACCTCCTGCAACTGAGAAGCTTCTGTAAGGCAAAGGACACAGTCAGCAAGACAAAAACGGCAGGCCACAGACTGGGGAAAGATATTCACCAACCCCACCTCTGACAGAGGGCTGATCTCCAGAATATACAAAGAACACAAGAAACTAGTCCCCCACACACCAAAAAAAACCAATTAAAAAGAGGAGAGCAGAACTAAATATAAAATTCTCAATAGAGGAATCTAAAATGGCTGAAAGACACATGAGAAAGTGTTCGACATCCTTAGACATCAAGGAAATGCAAATCACCACAACTCTGAGACAGATTCTCACTTCTGTCAGAATGGCTAAAATCAAAAACACCAATGACAGTTTATGCTGGAGAGGATGTGGAGAAAGGGGACCACTCCTCCACTGCTGGTGGGAGTGCCAACTTAGACAGCCACTTTGGAAATCAGTATGGTCTTGCTGTGTGGCCCAAGCAGGCTTTGATCTCCTGATCGGCCTTTGATGCCTCTGTCCTGGGACTGGGAGATGCACCACCACATCTGGCTGCGCTATTTCCGGGATTGTGAGAATGGACCACCACAACTGCCTATAAGATTTCTTCCGTAATCCTCTGAATCCTCCCCAACAGACTCTAAAGCTCCGGGGTGACAAAAGACACACAAATGCTTCTCAACTCACCGCTAAGCCCATCAACATGTTCTCACCCACTGTGACCTGAATTCTCAGTCCAAACAAAGCGTTCATTCCTTTGAGTTTGAGCTTGTTCATCAGTTGAGTGTGGACTTCATACTCCATGAACGGCAGGAGATTACTGATAGCTGTGGCGTTGGCTTCTGCCTGGGCTTTCTTTTTTAAGCGACATAACCTACAAAGGAGAATAATTCTGTCAGTGCACAGTATTCCTGGTACCATCCTCAGAAATGCCCAGATGGGGATCTGGTTTGGTGGAAGACTTAAGAAGAGTCAGCAGACTGAAGGTCACTCACACATTAAGATAAAGACTCTGTGACACTGGGAAGTCAAACGAGTCTCAAGGAGAAAAGGACCAAGTGCCTCACCACTACTGAAGTCTCAGGGTGAAGGCAGAAACACCCAAGGGAGCAGGGAGTCTGGCAGCTGTTGGTGACCTAGACAATTCCAGCTCTTTGCTGCGTGTGTGTGTCACTGCAGCAGGTCCCACTCTAATACTAAACAGCCGAGTGCTGCATGAGAGAAAAACTATGCCACACAGTTCTAAAAAACCCAAATATAGCAGCGGTCTCTAAAGCAGTCGCTGCTTAGCCACATTCCACACGGGTAGACAAGTTAATGCATATATGTACCAGAAACAAAACACTTGTACAACAGAATTGAAATATTAAAAATACTCTTGAGTACTAAAGAGTTTTTTTTTTTTTTTCCTATCAGCTGTATAGGGGATAAAAACAAAGTTCAAATAGAATTGCCTATTCAGTGCAGGGTCAAACATATAAGAAACAACAGGTATTGTACAACAGGGTTACGACTCTGTACCTCAGAGTTTTTCAGGGACACGAGATACATTTTTTACAAACATACCTTGCCTGAATAAGACAACCTTTTCCAATGACCACTGCATCAGTGGGCAGGTCTATGGTTGTAAAGAGAACGTCAGGGACTTTTTGTTTCCTGCAGTTGTAACAATACGTGAGGTGAGCTGGAAACGGCATGTTCAGTTCATCATATGGTATGTGGCAGAATCCGCAGCCCACAGGCAAGTTCTCTTCAATCCTGTGCAAATATATTTAATAAGGTACTCTACTCAAGATCTGATACCTAGTCATTCTCAAAAATGGAAAAATAGCAAACAAGTGTCATACAGCATTTCTAAAATACCTGTGACATTTAAACAGTATATATTACGTACATAGTATCTGTGTATAAACCCATACAACTTATACCAGAGCAGTGAAATGCCGCTGTGACTGACAAAGTGCTGCTCCAGTCACCTACACAAGATCTGCACAGAACAGGGACCACAGACATCCCATTGTGCATGAGGGAAGAGAGCCTACAGCCTCACTCCTGCTCGAGAGGCTACCAACACTGACACACTGACAGCCAATGGCTACTGAGGGAGGGAGAAGAATTTTCTTCAGTGGAATGGTCAGTTACGTTGTCCATGCTCTGGTAAGTAACTTCCCACCCATGTTCCTAGAAGCCACCCTGATTGAATTCAGCAGGTCACCAACAAGAAGCATGACAGCAAAGGGCCCTGTTAGGGAGAAGGCGTGCTTCAGTGGGAGTCAGAGGGCGATGAGAGATGGCAATGCAGGACAAAAGTGACCAAAATACACTACATACATACATGAAATCACCAAAGAATAAAAAATAAGAAATTACAGGACATTTTTAACAACAAAAAAGTATTTGAAAAGTAAAAACAAATGTTAGAAAAAGGTATACACTAAGATTCCTTGTTTCTAGTAACTCTTTTAACATTCCTGAAAAACTAAAAGATCTACTTCATCTGAATACATATTATAAATAAGAAAACAAGGAGCACCACGACCACCCTGTTCACAGCAAGTGGTTCAGAAATCAGGTAACTCCACACCAGCCATTTAACCTGTCCCAGCCGCTTCTATCTATAAAACTGCAGTGGCTACTTAGAAATGTTTATGGGGTTTTCTTGGAAAATCGAAAAAGCTACAGCTAGATACACCTACCCTGCAAAGGTAATGTCTGCCTGACAGATGCAAATGCAAGTCCGTTCAGTCTGACCCCGCCCGCCCGGGATTCCACACAAGCCTGCTAAGCCACAAACTGACCTCCTGTTTGAGTTCTCATTTATCCAAACTCAGCGGGGTGACTTAAGTGGAACCATTTGTAATTAAGCACTCTGCACATATTTGAGCATCTACAGCAAAATCACCAGGCACAAAAATCAGAGCAGTACACTTTATAAAAACATTTGAAACACACAAAAAAAGCCTAGAAATTTCTCTGAATACTGAGATTAAGGGAATCATTTTTCTTTCTACTCTCTGGTATTCTCCAAATTATGTCTAGTGTACACTAATAATTCCATGGTGTGAATGGGATCTGGCTAGAGTAGTCAGCAGGTGAAGGCGATTGCCTCCAAGTCTGTCCACCTGAGTTTGATCCCTGGAACCCACATGGTGGAAGGAAAGAGCTCACACCTAACAGGTTGTCCTGACTGCCACCCACCAGTCAGGGCATGTGTGCAACCACAAACACACACACACACACACACACACACACACACACACACACGATGCTTTAAAATATCTTATTAGGCTGGGCGTTGGTGGCACACGCCTATATATATATATATATGTATATATATATACATATATATATTATATATATCTTATTGCTATACCCATCTAAACCATAAAACAAATACCCAGGACATTTTGGAAAACATTAAATTAGTTTTCTGAGACACTGGGAATGTAGCTCAGAGGCAAAGCATTTGCCCAACATAACAAAATCCTACATTCAACTAACAGTGACCTTCTACCTTACTCAAGAATGCAATCAGATGCGGACATCCCTCAGGCATAGCCTACCCAGTCTACCCAGGCTGACTGTAGCCTACCCAGCAAGCACATGCCCTGGTTCACTCCTCAGCCCAGACAAATCAGTCAATAGTACAGTCCAATTCTTCAACAATGTCCCCTACATGGAAGGCTCTAGAATATATGTTGGCCAATATCCATTGAAAAGAAGCTAACTAAGCTCCTCTTCACCAATGCTAGCATTATCATTCTACATTATATCCTTTTGCAAAGTTATAATTAATTGGAACATAGAGGACTTTTATACTTTCTTCCTTAATTTGTACAACTGGTTTTTTTATCACAGTAGATGCCAATATTAAGCTAATAATTCTAAAATATTTAAGTATATTTATTTACATACACATTGGACAGTTTCATCTGTTGATGAAAACATGTTTTACATTTATGTATGCTAATAGTTTAAAGATTAAAGAAACCAACAATTACTAAGTTAAAAGTAAGCTAATCTTACCTAACACTTTTATTTTCCATTTCACATGTATTAAAGTCATTTTCATGAAGTTTTTAAAAGCAGTTTAGTGCAATATAGCAAGTGCTTTGATTGTTTTATGAAAGAGGAATTTATGAAAATAAATTTTGTTTGTGGGGATGAGACAAAAAGAGAAAAGTGAAGTAAAAGAAGTTAAAAGGGTATACTTGATAGTCTTCTGCTGTTAGTCCTCCATGGGACTTCATAAAGACACAAAGATGAGATGTAAGACAAAATGTTGTTGAGATAGTCTTACACTGTGTGAAAATGTATTGTTGTGATTGGTGTAATAAAAAGCTGGACGGCCAATAGCCACAAAAAGGTTAGGTGGGAATTCCAGGGGCAGGGAGGTCTCTGGGAAGAAGAAGGGAAGAGACACCAGGAGACATGGAGAGGAAACAGGAGGTGCAAGACAGAAGAGAGGTAGCACCACGTGACAGAACACAGAGGAATATAAATGGGCTAATTTAAGCTATAAGAGCTAGCTGGAACAAGCCCAAGCTATAGGCCGAGCTTTCAAAATCAATAAGAAGTCTCGTGTAGTTATCTGCTGTCTAGCTACAAGGGTAGAATCCTGCATATCTGTTACCAAGTGCCTGGTACTGGCTGTGACACTACCCAACTATCAGCCAATTACACAGAAAAACCTCCTGAGCTCTAAGATTTTAAAAAGTCAATCTCTCCCTTCTCTGTTTAAGAAAGCAAGCCATGACAACCTCTGTTCCAAAGAGCCCTCCACAGTGCCTTCTTGCAGAAACCGAGGGTTCAGTACAGCTGCCGTGCCAGAGGCTGATAAAATACAGACTTCTTCACTAGAAAAGAGAGAAGAAGAAAATAAAACAACCACAGGTTAATATTACCAATAATAAACTTCCAGAAAACACTAAATATCAAGAGTGGCAAACTGAGTTCAAGTCAGACAGTCCCATGTTAGATAGTCTCCAAAGACTACACCCCTAAAGCTAGGGCAGAAAAAAGCAAAGTGCATATCAAATGCAGAGGGCAAAAACTGCTGCAAATCATAAATTGAAAAAGATAAAATTGATAGTAATAGTTTCCTAAGGGATTAAATAGTCAAAACTATAAGTCCAGCAACAAGTTACTAAACTGTATTACTCTAAATGTCTATAAAGCTTTATTAGAATTATTCTAAAAGTATAGCTATGAAAGTTATTTATAGTGCAATAGTCTAATCTGAATTAGAATCATAAAAGTATCTAAAACAGTACCCAAAATATACTAAATGAAACAAAGCGTATCATTCACATATATGTGTGTATATACATATACATACGTAAATACATATGTGTGACAGAAAACTTATTTTAAAAGGAATTCTCATAAATTCTTCATTACAAATTGCCTATCTAGAAAGCAAAAATAATTAGGCAATAATAGATGTAACTGCTGAGCAGTGCGGCCCACAGCGAATGAGACAAGTAGCAGATTTGGAACAAGAAGGGAGATGAGCAATGAGTGTACAGAAGCTAGAGAGCAAGACAAACATCAGCCACATGATGATGTCTGAGCACAGGGTGGCAGATGGGCTGTGAGCGCCTGAGGAACAAGCAGAGTTGGGCACAGCAGTGTGCTTAAAAGAATTCCATCACTAAGAATAGGAAGAAAAATTAGCAAAGATGAGATTGAAATGCAAAGGTGTATAGAGAGAAGAAGCTTCTGGCACATGAATCCAGACCCTGAAGTAAACTCAATAGACTAGAGGTCGGTCCTTCACCATGACCCTCTTCAGCAGCACTGAATCTTGCCTCCAGTGCTTCTCACGTGCGCAGCGCTCCCCAGAGCCCACACATGCCTCCCCCACGGGGGCACGCGCCCCCCAGAGCCCACACATGCCTCCCACGGGGGCACCCGCTCCCCAGAGCCCACACATGCCTCCCACGGGGGCACCCGCTCCCCAGAGCCCACACATGCCTCCCACGGGGGCACCCGCTCCCCAGAGCCCACACATGCCTCCCACGGGGGCACCCGCTCCCCAGAGCCCACACATGCCTCCCACGGGGGCACCCGCTCCCCAGAGCCCACACATGCCTCCCACGGGGGCACCCGCTCCCCAGAGCCCACACATGCCTCCCACGGGGGCACCCGCTCCCCAGAGCCCACACATGCCTCCCACGGGGGCACCCGCTCCCCAGAGCCCACACATGCCTCCCACGGGGACACGCGCTCACCAGAGCCCACACATGCCTCCCACGGGGGCACCCGCTCCCCAGAGCCCACACAGGCCTCCCCCACGGGGGCGCGCGCCCCCCAGAGCCCACCCATGCCTCCCACGGGGACACGCGCTCACGCGAGCACCCACACGCCTCCCACGGGGGCACGCGCGCCCCAGAGCCCACACAGGCCTCCCCCACGGGGGCGCGCGCCCCCCAGAGCCCACCCATGCCTCCCACGGGGACACGCGCTCACGCGAGCACCCACACGCCTCCCACGGGGGCACGCGCGCCCCAGAGCCCACACAGGCCTCCCCCACGGGGGCGCGCGCCCCCCAGAGCCCACCCATGCCTCCCACGGGGACACGCGCTCACGCGAGCACCCACACGCCTCCCACGGGGGCACGCGCGCCCCAGAGCCCACACAGGCCTCCCCCACGGGGGCGCGCGCCCCCCAGAGCCCACCCATGCCTCCCACGGGGACACGCGCTCACGCGAGCACCCACACGCCTCCCACGGGGGCACGCGCGCCCCAGAGCCCACACAGGCCTCCCCCACGGGGGCGCGCGCCCCCCAGAGCCCACCCATGCCTCCCACGGGGACACGCGCTCACGCGAGCACCCACACGCCTCCCACGGGGGCACGCGCGCCCCAGAGCCCACACAGGCCTCCCCCACGGGGGCGCGCGCCCCCCAGAGCCCACCCATGCCTCCCACGGGGACACGCGCTCACGCGAGCACCCACACGCCTCCCACGGGGGCACGCGCGCCCCAGAGCCCACACAGGCCTCCCCCACGGGGGCGCGCGCCCCCCAGAGCCCACCCATGCCTCCCACGGGGACACGCGCTCACGCGAGCACCCACACGCCTCCCACGGGGGCACGCGCGCCCCAGAGCCCACACAGGCCTCCCCCACGGGGGCGCGCGCCCCCCAGAGCCCACCCATGCCTCCCACGGGGACACGCGCTCACGCGAGCACCCACACGCCTCCCACGGGGGCACGCGCGCCCCAGAGCCCACACAGGCCTCCCCCACGGGGGCGCGCGCCCCCCAGAGCCCACCCATGCCTCCCACGGGCGCACGCGCCCCCCAGAGCCCACACGTGCCTCCCCCACGGGGGCACGCGCCCCCCAGAGCCCACACATGCCTCCCCCACGGGGGCACGCGCCCCCCAGAGCCCACACGTGCCTCCCACGGGGGCACGCGCTCCCCAGAGCCCACACATGCCTCCCACACCTCTGCATGTGCCACTCATGCTCACTCTCCATGACTGAGTTCAAGCCGCAGGGCATCACTGACACTTTCAAATGACGATGCACTCATCCCATTGCCACCAACATTGCTGCCCTTTTTCAGACTTCTGGTCCTCTGGGATCCTGAAGCATCCTGGGATATCTCAACAGTAAAACTTACCATAGATGTCATACTTCTCGAACAGAATGGAAATTTCATGGCAAAAATCATGTCTCAAACACCAAATCCTTTAGACATAAAAGCATGTGGCACTAAACAAGGCAGGACCTCCTACCAGGGAGCAATGGGAAGCAGTTACTCTAAGTCAGTAGTTAACAAAAGCGGAAAAGCTATACAGGGGCTGGAGAGAGGCTTCGTAGCTAAGAGCACTTGTTGCTCTTTCAGGAGACCCAGCGCCCAAAGGGTTTCTCACAAGTACACACAACTCCAGTTTCAGCACATCCAACAGGCACACACATATACATGCATGCAGGCAGGCAAAACATTCCTACACATAAAACAAAAGAAATAAATCTTAAAAAAGAGAAAAAAATCTATTCTATGGTAATAGAAAGATTCGAAGGTATAATACGTGGCCTCAAACAGTAGAGAATGCAAAATAATAAATAACATGGGTCAGTAATGTCCATATTTACTGCAAGGTAATGACTTTTCTCTGACACTAATGATCAACACATGAGCAGAGACTCTGGTAGCAAGAATTATGCAAAACAGAGCAGAGAAGTAAGACAGCACAGGGTCAAATGTTCCTTAATTACCACAATTACCAGCTTTTTAGAAGGGCATAAAGATGGGGTTCAAGGATGATAAAATAACCAAAAAAAAAAAACATACAAATATGTGTGTGCCTAAGGTAACAGTCAAAACTGGGTATAAAGGAGCAAGTGGTAAAAACATTAGGTTCTCATCTGAGAGTAAAATTTCGCAATTTCAAAGTTTTCACATCATTTCAAAGGAGCCAACAAGTCCAAAACACACTTAAAAGTCAAGTGGCAACAGAGGAGTTAATAACAAGAAAGCCTGATTCTAGCTGTGAGGAGGGAGACAGCTTCAAGTGACAGAAGGACAACTGGAGGCAGGCAGGAAACCGTCATCTGAGAGCATGGCTCTGGGCACAGGGGAGATGGGCAGGTGAAAGACAGGAGGAAAAGAACCCAAAATACCAAAGCCCCTCCCTAACTTAGCAGTTAGGTAGGATTGCTTTGCTAGCAAGAAAAAGTTCCATTCCAGCTTATAAACGAAAGCACAGTGGCTCTGTTTTTTTTAATAGAAGGTAGCTCTTGGCTGGCCTGGAATTCACTGTGTTGCCCAGGCTAGCCTCAAACTCACTGAGATACCTCTGCCTCCCAAGGGCTGGGATTAAGGCTGTCTGAAGACTGACTAGAGACAGTTGGCCATCCATTTACAAAACACTTAGAGCCCCCGCCCCACCAAAGGCCCACTGAAAGGAGTCAGCAACTCAAGAGCTACAGGCCAGGACTACTTAGTTATCATACACTCATTTGACCAGAGCACAGTTTGTACTCCCATCATTTTAAGAGCTAAGCTGAGCCTCTCAAGTTTACAGAGATCAAGTGGGCCTCCAGGAGGCACCCTGAACCTGATCTGACACACTCAGGGCCCAGCTGGCACCCCACTGTCTCCTCTTCTCAGATGGGATGTGCGTCTCATCTCTCCCAGCTCACAAGACAAGCCAATCACAGGGTCAGGAAATCCAAGCAGCTATTTACCAGATGCTGGTTGACTCGCTGTAGCCCACTACAGCATGGCAGCCTAAGGCTTTAGCATGTGACTTTATCTCTTGTCTGATTTCTGCCCACCATGCATCTCGAGTTTCTGGTTCATCTGAAAAATAAAGTAAAGTCAGTCGACCGCTCACCAGCACATTACAGATTCACAGAAATGTCTGCAGTAAGCCTGACTGGGACATGAAGTACTGACCCTCACTTTACTCTTCCTGTTCTCTTCAAGTGCTGACTTCACACAAGACTCAAGACTGAGCTCTGGAACTTGACTGTTAGGACAGGCCACTCTGCTCCACAGCTTTACCACTTCAAGGGACACTTGCAGGGCAGGCATGCACTTTGGTATAATAGCATATATTTTCATAGCAATAACTTAAATGGAGGTCTCAATTTTCCAGATCCCAATCTGGTTGGTTTGATCGATTTGGGGGACAGGATCTCATATAGTTCAGGCAGGAGTGGAACTCACTAGGTAGCTGAGGATAACCTTGACCTGATCCTTCTGCCTCCACCATCTAAACGCTAGGCTCACAGGCATGTGCCATCACACCCAGCTCAGATTCGACACTGAGAGGACACACGGTGTCTCATCTCACTGAGTGAATACCTTATATGTCCTATCCATAAATTTGACTTAAATTCTGATTTCATATTCTGTCACCTACTTTTATAATCTACTACATTCTGAGTTCTTCCCAAGGTAAAGATTTGCTAATATTTAAAAATGGGATAAAAAAAACTTTATTTGCCATTCTTTTTTAAAGATGTAAGTTCTAGGGCAGAACAACAGGGTATAAAAGGACACGCTAATCTAAAAAGAAAAATGGGAGGGGTTAGAAAAAGAAAGAGTGCATTTAAAAGGTTAACACAAATAATTTGGTTAATAAGGAAAATTTTTAAACACAGAATTACAAACTCCACACATGGCCTATAACTTCAAAAGTAGATTATGGGCATGGTGACCTGTGCCTGAAGTCCTGGCTACTTGGGAAGCTGAGCCCATGAGTTTAAACCTAGCCTGGTCAACAAACTAAGGTTCCTGTCTCTCTCTAGCATAACAAAGACGGCTTTGGGCCTATAGGATAAGCTAAGTGGTACGGGCAGTGTGGAGAGGCCCTGGGTTCATTGCCGTCACAGGGAGTGCTAACATCCCTTGTAATGGGGTCCTGTGGTCGGAGAAGTGGACATATGGATGGAGGGGCTGCCGCATGCTTCTTAACCACCTGCATCTTGAGAGTGAGCAACCATTGCAAGGGAAACTCACTCTCCATGGCAAAGGTGTTAGAATGTTATAACCAAAAGCGGACTGGAACAACGAGGGTACCCTGACTTTTCTCTTTTCCTGTCACCACCTGTTTGGGAGGACTGAAAGCTTAACTCTAGAGTACAACACTAAGTTCTTACTGTCCTGGTTTTACACAAAACATGCTACTAGTGCAGAAAATCAAGCAAACACCACTTTATTTTTACACAGCAGTTCTATCAGATTCTCAGCAGAGTCTCTGAAGATAAAGGACGTGGAAGTCTACTCACTAGTGAAGAGTGAAGGCAGAAGGAAGGAAAGGCTAAGAAGCATGTCAGAACTCACATCCCTGTGATGGGCATCTCCTCTGCAAGGAGGGACGGCAAGGGGACGGAGGAGGAGGAGGCGGGGGAGGTGAATGCCAGCCGCTCTGGAATTAAGTCTGGGGTTTGAGACAGAGCTACCCTAAAACTTCCCTTCAGAGGAAAAGAAAGCAGCGCAGACTTGAGGAGACTGGGGAAGATGACAGTACAAGATAAAGGGAAGGAGGGAGACAAGAGGGAAGGCTGCACCCATGCTATGCACTGGGCATGCATAAACACTCGGGTGGCGGCTGGCACCCATAGCCCATTACAGACTTGCTCCCACATCCTGGCTGAAATGTATACACTAAGAACATAAAATACTTCAGAGTCCAAAGTCACTCTGCTAGCACGATACGCATGCCTTTTTGGATTTGTCTTTGCTTGAGGTACTTGCCCAAGCAGCCTCAAACTCACTATGCAGATCAAGCTTCTGGAACTTGCTGCAATCCTTCTGTCTCAGCCTCTCCAGTACTAGGATTACAAGCGTGAGCTACCACTACTGGCTGGACATGTATGCTTGTATGTCAATTTAAACATCCATGGAACCTCATCCTTTCCCAAAAGGAAATTATAGCAGAGGACAAACTATTACCTATGTAGTGTTCTCATCTATCAAATTATTTATAGTTCTAAGAAAATAAGTATCACAAATAGAAATAACTGTCTAGAAAATAATTGTTTTGCTAAAACACTATATTAAATAAGTCAAACTTTTCTCAAACTCTAACGGAATTTGCTATTTTTTTACTTACTCTAGAAGTTTAGAATATTTTCTAAGGCAATCACTGTATGCCATGTTAAAAACAGTTTCTCAAAGTAGACTCACCTTATCTGTTACAAGTAACACATGGTAGATTCCCTGTTTTTAAAAAAGGGGTTTAAAGGCAGCAATCTACATCACCATTTTAAAAATAATGAAAGAATGGAGGGAGCTAGTTATTTTAAGCTTGAAATGCATTTATTTAGAAATGCCCAGCACAGTCAAATGCAGAAGTATTAACAGTTCCCTTGACGCATGTGTAAGCACGAAGAATACAGTTACTCCACACCAGACTTACCTTGGTATAACATAAAACAACAACACAGAGTTAAACCAAAGCCATGGAAGAAACAGTGGCTGATCTTAAAGAGAGCGAGAGCGAGCGGGAGCGCGGGCTGACTGAGAGCAAGTGCAGCATTCATCCCCCTCAGGCAAGCTGACAAGCAGGCTTCGTTTTGACACAGCCACACAGTGCATGAGATGCCAGCACTGTACTGAGCAAAGTATTGACGGCTGTAAAAAGCTAGTTATATGACATGGGCACCAAAGAAGCAAATGGCATGTGTCCACACTCTGGAAAATGTTAAACTGGGTTTGGGCTAAAGCAAAAGCTAAGGAACAAAGGGTTTGCAAAGCAGATTTGGCAAACAGGAGCCAGGAACGGTGATGTTTTGGCGCATGCTGGGGTCAGGTGACAGCATGGACTGAAAACTATGGCAGCTCACTGAAATGGTCACAGAAAGGAATGGCCCTAGACTCTAGGTGAGAGCAAGCAAGCGCACAGGAGGAGCACTTCGTCACGAGTCGCTCTGGCCACCATGGCCACTGTACTGTAAGCAAGGGCAAGGGATCTAAGTTATTTGGCTACAGAAAAATTCAGACTTAATCAGTTTTTTTAGTATTAAGAAAGAGTCTATTAATCTTTAAAGCCTACACTACAATCATGGCAAAGATGAGCCACGGACTCAAGAGTACTTATAATTAGTATGATCTTATTATCAATAAAAAATCAGCTATATCACATTATTTAATCTCTATAATGAACTTTTAAGGTTTAATAACTGCTAACTAAATTTTAATAGGAAACACACTATTGGACCTATTTATTTTATTCACTGTACCAAAGCATAAATGTGACATTCTATCATAATTTTATAACAAGCAAAACAGAGCCTGGCTTTAAAATGTCTGGCAATTATCCATGTAGTACATGGGTGCTATTAGTCATTTTAGGAAAATACAGCTGAGATGTGAACTCATTTAACAAGCATTCCAAAGGTAATAAGAAAATTATTTCCACATTAAATACCATAGTCTTAGAATTTATACAATTATTTCTAATTTTAAAATTTTAGGAAAAATTAAATTTTAATTATTATACAAATTATATTTCAAACTAATTTTAAGCTTTTTTCCTATGGGTCAAACTTTTTAATAGGTTATACAAATCTTTTAACGTCTCCTCTTAGCATTGGTCACGCAGCAGGCTTTAGCTCAGCACACTGCTGGTTCTGTGGCTGGCAGTAGAACCTATTCTTTTGTCCTGGAGCCTTTCTAGAGCATGGTGATAGCTTGATATCTTGCCATCTTTTTGTTTCAGAAGTGAGGGTGGAATTACTAATGATTTTTGAATGCCAGGGTATATCTCAGGAAGTAAAGACATGATCAGCTCAACAGAAAACGCCTTGACTAAACTCAACCCTTCAGTGATTTTAGGCACTTACACATTCGTAACTAAGACATACCTGCCTAACCAAAGTGTTAAAAATCTGTTCTGTTTAGAGTTACCCCACATAGTTTTTGGCTGAGACAGGGCTTGGCATGTAGCCCCAACTAGCCTCAGACTCACAGTCCTGCTCACCCTCGGATGTCCCATGACCATGAGGATGAGCCATCACATCCAGTTCAACCCAGTGTAGGGATGAACAGGAGGAGGTAAAGGTGTTGGGCTGGACCCAGCAATGGCTGAATAGGATCCTCTCGCTGCTGAGGAATGCAGGGAAGTTGCATTCCCAAACCCTGGGAAGTCACCTCCCGGGGAGTAGCAGAAATTAAAGAGTTCAGGTTCAACAGAGTTCAGCCCCAAACTGGGTAGGGATTAGAACCAGGCTGAGAAAAAGATCCCCACTGCACTGGAAATGATACACAGGGAGCAAGAGAACATCAAAGCTTAGATGTCTATCAGTGTGGTAACTGGCATACACGCCATACGGACTGCATCTAACGGACTGCACCTAACAGACTGCTGCCACTTTTTAAAGGCAGACATGCAATTCACTCTAACCAAACCTCACTGTCTACGCGTGACGTCAACAGGACATCCTTACGCAAATCACTGGTGCATACAGCAAGCACTCCAGGCATGCTACTGCTAGGACTTCCTGAAAACCGACTACGTTTGAGAACCAGAAGCTGTCTATATCCAGCTTACTTCTCACCTGGGCATCAGGTGAGACACTCCCAGGGAGCCTGCAGGACTTCTGACAAGGAACTAAACTGGCTGTGAACAGGATGCTGACCAGGCTTAATGATGTCCCCAGGGTCCCCAGGTGCCAACACAGTGCTCAACTCACGTGAGCACGCCACAAACATTCATTCACTGACAGTTGTGACAGTGTTTAAGTTTTGTTAAAACAAACAAACAAACAAAATGAACAAATCCAGATGTTATTTGCTCACACATCAGCTGCCTCACATTTGCATTTTGTTTTGTTTTTAGACTAAGTCTCTCT